GACTTGGATCCTCGACTGCGATTAGACCATGGCGGGCAGCGTTCACCTTTGCTCTCTGGCGCAGTATCCCGCGGCAAGTCCACATCAACACCGTCGCCCTCGAGCCAGGTTGAACCGGCATCAACAGTAGCACAGCATCGCCCTGCCTCTTACCACGTGACTGAAGCCTCCGATAGTCCGCCTGCGGGTCTTGGCACGCTTAACCAGCAACAGAGTCAGTATGGAGATGGCGCGGATCATGACGGAGGTGCTGCTGGTGGTGCGGTTGGCAGCGATGCCAAAAAGTCGAGGGCCTGCGAGGCTTGTCGCGGACTCAAAGTGCGATGCGAACCCGGCCCCGACGATGAAGGTGCTCCCTGCAGGCGCTGTAAGAAGGCTGGGAGAAGTTGTGTTGTGACGATGCCAACGAGGAAGAGGCAGAAGAAGACGGACAGCAGGGTTTCTGAGCTCGAGAAGAAGATTGATGCTCTGACGGCCAGCTTGCAGGCCCGCGCCGCAGTTTCGGGAATCGGTGCCGGCGATGCGGCCGCTGCTGGACAGGGAATTTCCATTGCAGGGATCGCGGCATCATCTGCGACGGCGCCGCGGAGACAGTCCTCTGAGGGCATGTCTGGGCTTTGGATCAACAGTAATGCCGCGAGGACTTGGGCCGGATCCGAGACCAGCGCGGCCGCCCAGGGAATGGCGGCAAGCCCAGTACAGCAGAGCCATACTCCCAGATCTTATCGACCATCCGTGTTTGATCCGCCGGACATGGTTGCTGGCCATAAACGGAAAGCTACGGAGCACCGGGACGGCTCGGGAGAAGGTTCCCCTGCAGCAAGCTCGTCACAATGGCCGATGGCTCGCCGCGGAAACAGGACCGACATCATTGATCGAGGACTTGTAAGCTTGGAAACGGCTGCCGAGCTGTTTCAAAGGTACAAGGAACACATGTTGAAGCATTTGCCTGCCGTGGTGTTTCCACCGGCCATGTCAGTCATGGAACTTCGCAGGTTGAAGCCGTACCTATTCCTGGCTGTCATGGCGGCTGCCTCGTCTGAGACACACGGGCTCCAGCGAGTCTTGCAACGGGAGCTGATGGAGCTCTTTGCCGAGAAGATTGTCATTGTTGGTGAGAAGAATCTTGAGTTGATACAAGCCCTCCATGTTGCTGTCATTTGGTACTGGCCGCCAGAGCACTTTGAGGAGCTCAAATTCTATCAGCTCGTCCACATGTCTGCAGTCATGGCCCTTGATATTGGGCTAGGCAAGAAGTCAGCACCTAAGCGCGGCATGACAGGCTTCAGTTGGCGAGAACACCCATTCAGACGACATCCACAACCCGACCCGACCAGTCTCGAATGCCGTCGAACGTGGCTGACGTGCCACTTCCTGGCAGCTAACACGGCCATGTCTCTACATCGGCCAAATCTCATCCGTTGGTCGCCGTTCATGACGGAGAGTCTGGATATCTTGAGGACATCACCGGATGCCTATCCTACGGACAAGTATTTATGCCATTTGATTTGGACGCATCGCATGGCAGAAGACATTGGCGTTCAGCTGTCCATGGACGATCCTGATACAGCCGTGAACATCATGGATGCAAGGACGCAGTACACGCTTAAGGGCTTAGAGAGGGATCTTGACAAGTATATTGCCGCGGTCCCAAAAGAGATGATGCAGCGTGAGTTTCTCCCCCCTCCTGGTACCCGAGAGACGCACGTGGCACTAATCAACAAGACTCTCTAGCAACTCTCAAGATGAGTTTCAGCATCCTGAACCTCTACATGCACGAACTAGCCCTCCACTCCGACAACACCGCCGACGCAATCCGGCCCCCCTTCGCCACGGATATGCTCCAAGACGGCATGGTCAGCAGCGAACCCCTGAGCGCTGCACACATCAATGCCCTGTCAGCCTGTCTGTCCGCCATCGACAACATCTTTCAAACCTTTCTCGCCATGGACGTCTTCTCCATCCGCTGCCTACCGGTATTCACCTTTGTACGGGTCGCCTACGCCGTCGTCATCCTGATGAAGATGTACTTTTCCGCGTCCAGTCCGTCCTCGGAGCTCGGCAAGGTCATCAACCAGGACAACATGCGCGTAGCGTACTACCTCGAGGCGCTGTTGGAGAAGTTCAGCGCCACCGCCGCCGACGACAAGTGCCGACCTGCCTCGAAATTCCTCCTCGTCCTCGTCATGCTGCGCACCTGGTTCCTGAAGCACGGCAAGGCCGACTCGAGGCAGGACGCGCAGAACCCACCGCCCGCCGCGGGCTCGTCGTCAAACACTCCCATCGACGAGGGCACGCCTTCGATGCAACCATCGCAGCCGCCGCCGCCGCCGCCGCCAGAGCACGCCGCCAATACGCCCCTCCAGGTCCTCTCCGAGGTCGCCATGGGCCGCGAGTCCAACACCCCGCGGCCGTTTTTCAACTCCATTTCCGGCGGCCAGGCGCCTCCCCCAA